ATATATATATATATATATTAGTGTTGCGCCGATGCCATTTTTTGGCCCCGACACTGATACCCGATACCTGGCTGTGCAGTATCGGCCGATACCATAATAATGTAAAATAATTGCCATCATGGTTTTGTCAAGCTGCTGCCTACCTTTGTGAAGCAGGAAAAAATCAAATGCAAAGTGAATCCAGTAGAACTTTTTATTACCTACCAGGAATGGGTGACAATAGTTGAATAAACTTATGGCTCTCAAAATGGTATCGGTGCCCTATTTGTTGGTACTCGCCGATACCGATACCATCATTTTAGGGCAGTATCGGGCCCCGTCCGATACTGGTATCGGTATCGGTGCAACACTAATATATATATATATATATAAAGTGATTGTGACGTTGTGCAAAAACAGTGCAAGGAGTGAATAAATGTCAATTACAGAGGGGGGGGGGTGAATCACCTGAGGAAGGCATTGTAGAGATTGATAACCACAGGCAGGAATAATTTCCTGTGGCTCAATTATCAATGGATAATTTCTATTTATTAGGTCATTCTTTGCAATCCAACTAAATACATTATTCCCCATCTATCGTCGCTTTTTAAAATTCCAGTTTCTGCTTGAGAAATAGTGCTTGATCAAAAATGTTGTAGTATTTGACATTACAAATGATTGGTTGATTGATTGATTATTGATTGATTGATTGGTTAATGGATTGATTGATTGATTTGCCTTTTGTCTCATAACTCAAAGGTCTTATTTATGCTATTCTATGTTACAACTGAAGAGCTTAGGAGAAGGAACAAACTGTTGCTTTATGAAACACCAGGAGATGGCAGTGTTTACCACACATCTCACATAGCTGCTCAGAGTAAGTGGCCCCTCAAAATTAAAGTTAGCAATATTATTTATTACAAATCTTTTCCTGCTACTTTCTGACTTAAATCTTTTAAACTGCATCAATCAGTTTGAATTTCAGTATTGGAAAATCTCAAAATGGTTTTGTTAATTTGTCAAGGTACTCTTCTGCAAGTGGTTAACCTGGCAAGTACTGGATTTATTCAGTGTTTATTGACAGCTCAGAAATATAATGTGACAAAATTTGTGGGTACAATCTAACCATGCTGGACATCCTGCAGACTCTAAAGTGGAAAGAAATGTCATCCTTAAAAAAGCAACGACGTGCTTGGAATTGGAAAGCAAGGAGAGAAGCTATCCCGTGTAAAGTCTTCTAATTTCATTACCCTGCACATATTCTAAGCTTAAAGTCCATCACACTTTTGGCTGCTCTGAACCTGGAAGTCAAAAATAACGTAACGGCCTCTAAAATGTGGCAGTAGCTCAGTTCAGGGACAGCTTTAATTCTCTGTAATCTGATTACTGGATCAATAACAGAGCAACATTTGATGCATTGCTTTGATGGTTGGCTTCTCCTCGAGTTACACATTGCTGGCATTCAACACTCATTCCCACTTTATAGGTGACAAAGTGTGAATGCGAGCAGGAATCCAAATGGAAGGCCTTTTAAATGAGATGACTCTCACCGCAAAAACCTTGATCACATCTGGCTCTGCTTCGACCCTGTGATCCTAGCTGACATTTTCCATTTAGCATGTTTCTCAAACTATTTTGTTTCTCAGGAAGCGGCTTTTAATCAAAAGAATGTTTTCAAAATAAATCATTTTGTGGCACCCGAGAGGTGCGATCCTCTTAAATAAAACCATAAAAACCAAACAGACTGCGGCGATTGTGAGCAGGGCTTTAAAAAGTTTAATCGATTAAAATCCAATAAGATAAAAAGAAAGATAAAAACATAGATGGTGAAGAGCAGCAGAGTCAATGGCCCAGTCTGTTAAAAGACGGCACTTGGCGGGTATAATGGAGGACACCGTCCACCCCAGCGCTGGATCCTCTTTCCGGCACGCTGCGCGTGTGGGCCTCTCCAGCATAGCTGGTCTTAGCGAGGTCACCTCCAACACGCGCCTCCACCCCAGTGCTGGATCCTCGTTCCGGCACGCTGCGCGTGTGGGCCTCTCCAGCGTAGCTGGCCTGCGAGGTCACCTCCAACACGCGCTCCATGACGGGCCTCTCTGCACCCCGCTCCGGCGCGCGTCCCTGCACCTCGCTCCGGCGCGCGTCCCTGCACCTCGCTCCGGTGCGCGTCTCTGCACCTCGCTCCGGTGCGCGTCTCTGCACCTCGCTCCGGTGCGCGTCCCTGCACCTCGCTCCGGTGCGCGTCTCTGCACCTCGCTCCGGTGCGCGTCTCTGCACCTCGCTCCGGTGCGCGTCTCTGCACCTCGCTCCGGTGCGCGTCCCTGCACCTCGCTCCGGTGCGCGTCCCTGCACCTCGCTCCGGTGCGCCTCTGCACCTCGCTCCGGTGCGCCTCTGCACCTCGCTCCGGTGCGCGTCCCTGCACCTCGCTCCGGTGCGCGTCCCTGCACCTCGCTCCGGTGCGCGTCCCTGCACCTCGCTCCGGTGCGCCTCTGCACCTCGCTCCGGTGCGCGTCCCTGCACCTCGCTCCGGTGCGCCTCTGCACCTCGCTCCGGTGCGCCTCTGCACCTCGCTCCGGTGCGCGTCCCTGCACCTCGCTCCGGTGCGCGTCCCTGCACCTCGCTCCGGTGCGCCTCTGCACCTCGCTCCGGTGCGCCTCTGCACCTCGCTCCAGCGGCCTCCGGCCGTCAGTCCCCAAACCTCTCCCGCTGCTTCTCTCTCACCCGCTCCGTCCGGCTCCCTCCAAGATCGGCCTTCCTATGACTGGTGTGTCTCCCCAACCAAACCTTCCCATGACCGGTGTCTCTCCAACCAACCTTCCCATGTCCGGTCTGTCTCCCCAACCAAACAGCTGCCTTTTTAAATCAGCGTCCCAGTTGGCACGCTGCTTGGTTGATTGGGAACACCTGTGCCGTTACTGTGGGCGTGTCCAGGTGTGAGTGGCAATGTGGCCTCCAAACAAAATCCAAAAAAAGAACATGCAATACACAAAATTGAAAACAAGAAAACAAGTTCAAAAATAAAGAAAATCCAAAATTAGAAAACATGCAACAACTTAACAAAAAGGCCACATTACCACAATTTTCTCATTTTCAGCCCAGCTGTTTTACTAGATGTTTGAACTCCTGATGCCACTGATGTAGGAACTATGATCAAAAGAGAGACAAATTTAAGAAGTGGACAAGTTTATGTGCACATATACATATTTCCACATAACCAATAATAGATTTAGATGCACTTGCAGCATGACGATTCTACACATAATAAAAACCTATTTCCAAATGTAACATTATCCATCAGTCTGGCCGGCCGCTCGGAGGAGGCAGACTCCAGCGTTTGTGAGTGAAAGGTGACCTCAACATTGGACAGATCTCAAGTCCATCAAAGGGCTTGGTTCTTCAGTTATAGATGTTCTGCAGACCAGGTGCTCAGACCTTCTCCAACAATCATAAAAGATGCTATAAAAGTAACCGGCCTCTCTTAACCATGGCTGTGATTGTTTTCTGTGATCGCCGTTGCCGGACTGGCAACCTGTACACAATGTGGCAGCTTAGAGAAATGGTCCAAAGCAGGAAGTTAACATGCATGTATGAATATGTAGGAAAAAGATGTAAATTCCTTTATGTCCCACAATGGGGAAATTTGTTTTCTGCATTTTGACCCATCCCCTTGGGATGCAGTGGGCTGCCATTGTGTGGCGCCCGGGGAGCCGTGTGGGGTTAAGGATTTTGCTCAGGGACCAAAGGTGCAGGCTGTCTGGATCAAACCAAGTACTTGCAACCTTCTCAGAACACAAGTGCACTGCTCTGACCCACAAGGCCAACACTCCCAATATAGAAAGTATGAAATAAAACACACACAAAAAACAAGGAAGGTGACAAAGAAGAGGACAGAAATATTTTTTGGGTATGTTCTCTTCAGGAAAAGAAGAAAAGTCATATATGGATTCCTGCCTGGTGGACTGTTTTAACACACTGAAGGAAAACAGTTTTCCTGATTATGAAAGACATTTGTAATGGACTACATCAACAGGATGTGTTTTTGGATATCTCGTCTCGCTGGTTATCTCGTCTCCTTGATAAAAACCTTTTGGGAAAGTGGATTTCATGAGGAACTGAATCTAAAAGACAAGAACACAGCCTAGGACTTGTTGTGGCCAGCAGAAAACTTAAACACAGCTGAACATGATGCGACTTTCAACTATTTGTGAACAGAAATTGTGTCTGCAGATCATGTTACTGAACATTAATAACTACTCTTGCAAAACGTTTAGTCATAAAAGGTTTTAGCTGGGTTTTTTTCTGTGTCTGAGCAAAATGAAGGAAGCTATAGCTGTCTGATTTTATTATTTGACACTCCTTTACTAAAGCCAGCAATGTCTTAAAGTCCCTGTTGGGGCTAAAACATTATGTTATTGTGGTATTACCTAGAGATGGACTGATAAAGTTGAGTTTTTTTTTGACAGCTTTATTAGTTTAGTTGATGATTATGTTGAAAAAAGTGAGACTTGCACAATCAATGCACGCTTTTTAATATTAGTTAGGCTTAGTTTCTTACGCACTTCCTCAGTGGGAAAGACACTATTAACATCTGTAACCTCAATCATGTCACCTACTCAAATGCTGACAGATTTTTAGGTTTTTGAAAATACTATATGCAATAATTCTCCACTGAAGTGAAGTTCTGGAACACAAAGGTTTTTAAATTCCTCCACAGAGCACCAGTTTGTTTTGTCAGTATTTCTTCTTGCGACCCATTGTTTACTTACAATGACAAAATAGTGATCCACAAATATGCTGCTTAAAATTGATGCATTTCTTGTATTTAGGGGCATTTTAAAAAGTCAGTTACAAATCATCTAAAGAAAACTTAATTAATGAATTTCTAAATGAAAAAAAGCACAAAAAATTGTGGGAAACTATTGCTAAGAGAAATTTTTCACAGAAAATACAAGAAAGTGAGGGATGGCTCAAGTTCTTTGTAAATGCATGATTTTTGTAAACATTCATGAGATCTGACAAATAACCATAAAAATATTTATTGACATTAAAATCTTCCTGGACACAGAAACTGGAAATAATTCACACAGGAAACAAATATTTAAGAAGTCCAAATTCAAAACCACAACCGACAAAGAATTTTAGAACTAAAATGCAAAATGTTCTCATTAAAAATACAACTTTTTCTGTGAGTTTTCAGGGATAAATATCTGAATGCATTTAAAACAATATCATTAAGAAGCTACACGTGAAACCACATTGCACTGGCTGATCTATAACTGCCCACTTTCAGAAACATTATAAACTAAACCACAGGAATCTCAGAACACTGGCCGATCATTCATATTAGAAATGCACATTAATACTGATAAATAAAAAAAATTATTTTAAAAGAAATGTTTTTCTATTTAAAAAAAAAAAACCCGCCTGTGATGTCTGTCGCAAACACTAACTTCCATGAATTCTGCTCTTGGATGTTGCTGCATGTTGCATTTGTGAAATGCAGATAAGTGGATAATGACAATGACTGTAGCATGAGACAGAGATAACCAGGAAGGTTGGAAGAAATCCCAACATGCTGTGATTCTGTTCATCCTTTTTTTTTAGTCCCCTGCAAAAGTCTGCCATGATCCTGTGTTTCCCAGTCCAAACAAGTCACTATGGCTCTCATCCTGCCAGAGCAACTGGATTCAGAACGAAGGAGAGATGGAAGAGAACGAGGAACCATGGCGCACATCATAGCCAGTTCAGATGCTGGGCCTTTTTCCCTCGTTCCCCCTCTTTTCTTTATCTCCATGGTGCACACACGTCAACCTGGAGCAAGGCCGTGTACTGGCAGGGGAGGCTAAAGGCAGAAAGAAGAGGGTGGGTGGATGGGGATGCGGTGTGTGGGGAGGTGTAGGGAGGAGGGGGGGTAAAAGGACACAATGCTTGAAAAGCAGAGCAGGTCCAGGGACTAATTGGGTCTGGTAATGGCAGGTCAGTGTGACTGAAGGGCTCGTTAGAACCAGTACAGCTCCTTGCCTTTCTTGTGCTGCTGGAGGCCTAAAGAAAGAAAAAAAAACATGAAAACAATGAGAAGGACAACAATGAACAGCAGTACACAGGTTGTCATGGAGCCTTCTATGGCCAAACATGCTGGTTAAGGCAAGTGAAAAGAGAGCTTCTGTGATGATTATGATGTGTTGTGTTTTTATAAGCAGGTCTGCACAGGGGGGTGGGGGGTGTTTGGTGTAGAGCTGGAAGCATATACGTCTTTGAGTTTCTCTGCAAATTAGAATTGATTTTTTGGAGATCTATTGGCTTTTTAAAACTACTGATTGTAGTCAAACCTATTTATCAGATTTATTCTTATCCTGCAGTCCCTTAAGTGAGAATAAAAATACACAATGAGGCATAATTCCTTATAGACTTCACTAAACTATTAATAACTATCTAGGTATTAATTCAATTTTATTTGGCTTTTAGTTTAAATTATATGTCTCTTTCTTATTCATAAAGTGACACTAATAACAAGGATTTTTTATTCACAAATACATGAGATTTTCTGCATTACTTTACATTGATTTTTTATTTGTTTTTAAAGACCAAAGGAATACAATTTTCACTTTAAAAGACAAACATGTTCTTCTTTTTTTTCAATATAATCTCAATACGTGGGCGGATTTAGATTTAATTATGTGCATTTTTTATTATTAGCTAGTTCAAACAGATTGTGGTTTAACTTATGATGCTAACATGTACGTAATTAAGAATTTCCTGAGCAAGCATGTGGTGAAGTTGTAAAGAACATGCTCCTTTTAAAAAGGGAGAGACCTCCAGAAAAGCAAGCCTAATCTTTTGAATTAAAGGTCAGTCTGTCAGTTGATTTGTTAATTTACTGGCTGACTGACCAACCGATCAATTGATTAAACAAACTTTGGTTAAAGAAAGTGATGCAGTTAAGAGCTTTTGTTGGTGTGAAAAGTCAAATAGAGATTGAATAGGTTAGGTATAATCGGTGGAGAACAGTAGGTCCCTTTAATTAATGGGAAATAAATGCTAAGCTTCTGCAATGCATTGGTAATCATGCACATAACCATCTCATTTAAAGTTATTTTCTTACTTTTTCTATGTAGAATAGCTTTTAAAAAGCACACATTAACGTACATTAAAACAAAGAAATGTGTATGATTCAGGAGATTTGTGAGGCTCTACCTGCATCCATGTTGAGAGCTAGCGTCTGACTGACATCACCAGGGGGCAGCAAGCTTGGCCAGGAGGTAGTGGGCTCTAGCTTGCCCACTTCATAGTGGCTTGGCAAGGTAGCAAGATGAGGTGGTCTCACAGTGGGCATGAGCAGGCCCCCATAGTGAGGCTCTAAAGCCGAAGGTGAATACAGTTCATGTAGAGGTCGAGGGGGCCCATAAGCTTGGGCCTGAGGATATCCCCAGCCCTCTGACGGGTGAGGGTGGGGACGAGTGTGAGCATGTGGGTGAGGATGAGCATGTGGGTGGGGCAGGCCTGGACGCAGAGCTGATGCATATGGGTCCATGGTATAAGTGGGAGCACTGGTCTCACAGTGGGAGCGACTCTGATTTGAAGAGTAGTTACTGTCCCAGAAAGATGGCGGGAAGCTTCTCCGACTGTTAGCGGTAGACGTTTCTGACAAAAGAGAGAAAAAAACCAAAGCTGGAATTAGATCATTGTTTGTTATAGAAACAAGCATCAGAACAACCCTGTAAACTTAAAACCTTTCCTCTCACCAAAGTTTTTTTACTTGAAGAATTCTACCAGAGTTTTTCTGGAAGAGTTCTGTTTTCTTTCAGTCCAATATAAATATCTCAAAATCCATGATCAGTTTAAAAGAGACAATTACATGTAGTGTTAAAAAAAGCACACAACCTTTATATTTTTATCATGTGACATTAAATACAATCCTTTTTTGTTCTGTTTTGGAGGAGTTAAAATTACTAGTTTATTTTTAATTGCGCTAGAATATTGATATGAAAATTCTCTTTCTCTTGATTTTTCAAATGTGTCAGTATAAATGGATCCCTTGCTGTTTGAGAAAAAAAAATCTTAAGCTGCATGATTTGGGACAAATGTTGTCAAAATCCCTTTACAATCTTCTTAAAATAGTTTGCTGGATATTTGGCCTATTCCTACTAAAGGTACTGCAACTGGGTGAGGTTTGTGGGAGGTCTTGCTTAATCACACATTTTAGCTCTGCCCAAAGTTTTTCTAGAGGACTTAGGATGTTACTTAACCATTTTCAAATAACCCTCTCTTTTTATAAATACATTTATTTTCTAAAGTAAACCATTCCATTCTGCAGCCAATCCTCTTAACATTGTCATCCACATACTTCAGAGCAGGGCTGGCTCTGTGAAGCTTATGGATGTGCCCATTATTCTCCATTTTACTTCAGAATCTAATGGATTTTGGACGGATTTTTATATTATTCTTGCCAAGCTACGAAACATGTCTCAACAAATGTATCTTATTAGCAAACTGTATTCAGGCCCTTGTGCATTTCTATCTGAGCAAAGGCTTTTTCCTCAGTGAGTCGCCTTTCAGGCCATGTGTTTTAGTCTGGTGTTCCCTTTCCAACTTCAGCCAGTGTCTTTTACTTTTGTTCTTGAATTGTCCCACATATTTTTTTATGGAAATACCACAATCTCCATGGGATAAACAACACCTTCTAGACAGAAGTATACAAGTTAGACATTCCAATGAAACAGATGAACAGGGAACATTCCGGATTCTAGAAATTAAAACAAAGGATGAACAAGACTTGTGGAGATGAATTATCCTTTTATTTGATTTCTCTGGAAACGTACTTTGGTTTTGCATGTATTCACACAGGAAAGCAACGTGTTTGATTGTTGGCTTAAAGTAAAACCATATGTGTGCCTCTATCTAGCTTTAAAGTTGTAAACAAATTAATTAGGAACTAAGAATGTCAAGTTGTAAAAGGACTGGACAAGCTGCAGGATATTAGCAGATGCATGCGATTGATCTATAACTTAAATACAACTGAGAGTAAAGGAAACTATATGGAAGTCCCCATGTGAAGGGGGTCTTTGAAGCAAAGTAAAAAAACAAGAGGCAACAGTTCAGGTGAACCAAGACTGCGTTCCGTACAGGTGTATAGAAATTTAGAAAGGTGACCCAGAGACTGTCTAGAGAAGCCTCCTTTTCCTGGCTTAGGACCTGCAGGTTTTCCCGAGGAGGTTAAAAATTTCGGAGTGCGCTGTTCAGGAACCCACGGAGAACTTTGTATTGAGACTGGCTCAAATCCCTCAGAACCCCGAACAAAGAACCTCTAGACCAGGAGCAGGAGGCATGTCTACTTGGACAACCTCATTTAGATCTCAGGAACTTAGTTGTGATGTGACAGCAACAATTTGAGGTCAGGAGCAGGCTCGGATGCTATTGAAATCCAAGGAACCTATATTGGAGCTTTTAGACAGTGAAAAGTTCTCTAAGACCTGGGGGCTGCCTGTGGCAGACACTGGTATCTTAAACAACCTTAAAAAGTCTTATACAGCCACTAAATTAGCAAAAAAAATCCTGAAATCCCACCAGAATTGTGAAGCTGGAGGCATACCAGTTCAGAGGTGATTGAAACAAGTTTGTTTTTTTCTCCAATCTGAAACATGTTGATTTCATTGATACTATAAATGCTCAATTGGACCCTGAACTAAACCGAGACATATTCAAGACATTCCTCTACATTTATAATAAAATACATATACAAGTAGCTTTATTTCCTGTGGTGTATTTTTGTCATTTTTTCCTGGCCCTTTGTATTAAGTTATTACAAATTAGATTGAACCATTTTTTTAGTTTATCGTAAAGTAACATGGTTAGCATGGGCTAAAATATGTGTCTCTACCTAGCACATGATGTTTATTCATATCTGACACGTTGGGGATGTTACAAGAATCCACAATCTCAAAAGCTGTCCAAATTCCAGGGTGGCTGTAGTGCTGGATTTACATTTCTAATGTCTGTGCTTGTGCAATTTTTAAAGAGCCTGAAGTTGTAGTTGTGGTTTATAAAACCTTACAAATTCTCAGAATAATTGCAACCTTCCCCATGAGCAGTTATGTTTTTATGAATATTGTGAAAAATCAGAGCACTTTGTTTATGATATAAATAAATTAGGTGTATTTCTATTCATAGTTAAGAGAAATGTTAAAAGTGTTGCAACCGTCCACAGTCTCCCCTACATGCACAACATCGGAAGTTAACCCTCTGTTGAGTCAGCATCTTTTCCGCAGGTGCAGCATTCTGTTTTGAGTAGTGGAATAGAGCTTTTCCAAAATGTTTAAAGGAATGCTAATCTTAGTATATTTAAACTTCTGGCTTTGTAAAAAATTATGAAAAGTTTTCATAAACTAATCTCTTTGATATAATTGTAGTATTTCTAAATAGAAATCATTTTCGTAACTTGAGTCTGAGTTATGAACAGAAGGAATGAGGAAAAACAAGTTATATTTTTGTATAGTGCCTTGAAATACCTGGTTCAAATTGTACATCACCCTATTAGCTGAATTTTACACTGATTTTAAATTATTTTATTTAGTAAACCAACTAATTTTTGTTTAATTGTCTGTTTATATCAGTTTGAATTGAATGAAGCTCTGTGTTTGTTTTGTATCTATTCATTTATTTTCAATTTTTCCTCTTTTCATTTAAATCATGGTTTTAACCCTGTTATCAGTGCATGCTGTATGGATTTTTGCACTTTATCCACTGAATCAATTAAACGTGCTAAAACATAGATGTTGCCCACATGACTGTGACACTCTTGGTCAGATATCTTCCTGATTGGATCATAGGGTCAGCCCAGCCCAAGTCACAACAAGACACAGAAATAAACACAACCACGCTCCCGTTCACTGAAAGAGGGACACAAGTTAGAAAGAGCAATGCCCCTATATCCTAGCACGCTATATAAGGCAGACCCTGTAACCTGGAGGCAGCCCAGGGCTCAAAGAGCGTTAAATCACTGACTGTGGTGACACTTCTCACTTTCATGTCAGCCCGGTGCTCCTGAAAGTCTAAAAACACACACAAGCAGTCCTGACCCCGTGCTAGCACCCACCACCCCTCTCTTCTCTGCCCTGCACCTTCACCTGTTGTTTTTGCAACCCCTCCCACTCTGTGGGCGTCCTTGACAGAGTTTCAATATGCTGTTATATGTTTTCAGAAATATAGCTTTATATTTAGATAATCCTTAAGAAGAACCAGCACATTTCCTATTGTCGCTACCACACTGACAATAGATGTAACTCTGACCGGGAGGCAGGCTGTGCAGCCATTGTGGGTCATGAGTTGGAATAAGAGTTAGAATGCCTGCTGTGGAGATGTTTGAAGGGGATACGCCGGCGAGGCTGTATGCTTACAGCCGGTTATAAACATAGCATCTGTTGGGAGGCAGGGAGTCCTCATTGGTGTCGAAATGAAGACGTCCAGCCTAACGAGAAAAAAGAGCGGAGCGACAGCAGAGCGGGGCTGTGTGTGAGAGTGCCGACCTTACATGGAAAGCATAGCGAAAAACCTGTTGATGGTATGAACTTTTGTGAGGTGTTTGTATGCACTTGTGGTGTTAGAAGACTTTGAACACACAGAATTTCAAATCTGAAACTACTAAAAAGAAGAGGCACAAAAAATTACTAAGATCGCTACTGTTAATTACACAGTTCACAGTTTTGGATCCTTGTGTGCTTCCAGAAAGCAATGCCTTCCACCACAAAGACTTGTCTCTTGTCTTACTTCCTGCCAAAACCACAGAACTTTATTCTCCAAATGAGCTGTTGACCCGCACGACCTTCTACTTGGATTTCTCCAAGACAACAGCCTACCCCTCAGTCCTGTCATCTGATCATTTCACCTGTCTGACCCTCTGCTGTGCTAAATAACTGTCAACTCCAGCATCTGTCACAGAGTTTAAAAAATACACACATTTAAACACAGCCAGAGCGCATATGTGGGCCCCATTTGTGATTTGCTCTGACAGTATGTTTGAAACCATTGCACTGAACTCACAATGGTCCTTTTTTATTGAGTTTTTAAAGCACTAGTGGCTTGTTTTTGTAGACAGTAGGCTGACAGGAAACAGGGTATGAAGGGGGAGAGACATGCGGTGAAGGACCGCAGGTCAGACTCAAACCCTGGTCAGCCTCGTCGAGGACTAAGGCCTCCTCCGTACATGGCTCATGTGCGCTAACCACTGCACAACCTGCACACCCCCAGTGGTCCTTTATTAATAATAACTGAACTTTATAGATCTCACACTGGAGAAATTTAGCTCTGCTTTTAACTCATCCCCTTGAGGATGGGGCTGCCATCATGCAGCAACCCCGGGAGCAGTGGAAGGATAAGGGTCTTGCCCGGAGACCCAGAGTGGAGGCTGTGGGGATCAACCTGGATATTTGCAACCTTCTCAGAGTAAAAGCGCAGTGTTTTTTTTAACCACTAGGCCAACACTCCCACTGAAACAAATGGGTTTTTAGTTCAACACAGACTGGAAACTGAAGTTAGGCTTCATTTTGGGATCACATTGCAAAAAAAAAAAAAAAAAAATAGATAAAATCATGCAAACAAATTCCAGAACCAGAGAGGGCATCACCTTTAACCAGTTCTATTTTATATCAACATGCACCCAACATTGTCATCCGGCCACATAAGACAATTGCTTAGTTTATGATAAGTTTATTTTTCATGGACAAGTTCATGACTTATCAGTTGTACCCTTACTATAGAGATCATAGTTTTTCGGTCATTATCTGAAGCTGTAGTAGTTTCTGTGACTTCAGAATGAGTTGGGAAAATATTTTATGTCTGTGAATATTTCTTCAAAAACTAACTTTTTAGTCACAAAAACATTTTACTATATAAATAGACACACACAGACACACATAAATATATATAGTACCAATATATCTACCTGTGCCCTGTTGTTCTGGCGCTCGTCTCTTCCCTTCTCCATCCATGTAAGAGCTTAGAGCCCTGGAGAAGTGCTCATCCACCACACTGCTGATGTCCCCATGGTAGTAGGTGAAGAGCACACAGCGAGAGGTCAGGTACTCTGCTTCGGGGGCCTCCTGCTTCTCCTTGGGGCCCTCCACTGGCCTCGGTGCAGCAGGTGTGTAAGAAGAGGAGGAAGAAGAACTGGATGAAGAAGAAGAGGGCGCTGATCCTCCAGTGGCTGGGCCCCCAGACATCCCTTCGGGAACGCTGGGAGTGTCCATAAAGTCTCTACTGTTGGGCGCAGAACTGCTCAGACCTGAAGGAGCCTGTCAGGGGGAGGTCAGCGGGCAACATGGGGGTGGGGTGGGAGGAGGGTTAAGACAGGTGTTGCAAAAGACATGTCTGGAAATTAATTTGAGTTTTTTCACATGTTTGTCACTGTTGGCGCGCTGGCTAATCCAAGCATGCACAAATGTATAATTTGGGAAACATATTGTCTGAATAATAGAAATAGAATATAAAAACCCTTTTAAAATATTAAATACAAAATGTAATCATACATTTATTAAATATCTGTGTTTAATCTAAAACAGTGAACCACGTTTACGCACAGAGCCACAGAAAAGAGTATTGTGGCTAACTTAATAACATGGTAATAACATTCATCTCAGAAACGAAAGTTATATTTGAAGAAAAGAAAAAAGCTTTTTACTGAACTTTACATATTGGCTTGCTTCCTACCTGTAAGCTGTTGATAAAAGCGGGAGCAGTCGGTGCGTACGGTGCGTAATGTCCATAGGCTGGATACATAACATCCAAACAGCTCATGGTAAACGAGCAGTGTCCTCACTGATCTGCAGGAACCGATCTTCGCATCATATAGCGCGACAACATCTCGTTTGTCTGTGGAAGTGGGAAGAGCTGAGTTGAGGTTATGCAGCGTGAACTAAAGCCCGTCCCAGGTTTGACATAATCCCCCCAGAAGAGCGCGCCCCTCCGCTTCCAACGCGCGTCTCAACAGCCGCGGCTGTGGAGCGGTTTACAAAGCAAGCATGAGGGTATTCTGTCCTGTACACCGCAGTTTAAACCCTCCTACCCCACAACCTCGTTATCCAACCCTCTACCCAGCAGCTCATCAAAAAATGGAAATTGATAACCAACCGTTTGGATTCTAAGAGAAAAAAAATGTCAAGCCAATAAAAAAAAAGGAAAGTCATAAAAATTTTGAAAGTTCACTAATTGATTCAAAAAGTGAAATTCACATGATAGGCATACTTTCAGGGGCGGATTTAGGAAATTTGGGGCCCTAGGCAAAAACAGGAATGGAGCCCTCTGAATAGGGGGTTTTCAGTGACGTCACTGGCCAGCTCCCGGTCCGCTATCTTGGGTGGCATATTATCGTATATTAAATATATCATGTCGCGAATAGATAAGTACGCCAGCACGCTAGAGCCACCAGATCATGGAACATATCTGAGGAAATGTTCCGTGATCGACCATATGGACCCCTATGCCCTCCACGGTGCCTTGTTTAGCACTAATCCAGATGATTGGCCAAATGTAGAGCACGGTAACATAGTTCATTACCCGGTGTTCAGTGAAAACCCTCTGCACACTCTGGAGGAAATGAGAGCGTACAAGGGTCTAGAGGCTCACAACCAGTTCACATCTGGTTGGGTACGAGATGTCGAAGTGATGTACATGAAGGAAATCGCCATCATACGTGGACGGGTGAGTTTTAATAAGATGGTAAAAATGTAAACAATCCGACGCAGGGCTCGCTATGCTAGGTGGCTAACGGCCGGCGGTGCGCGAACAGTTCCAAAGCTACAAGTCCTTGGAGTCTCATGTGCAGTTTACGAATGGATGGGTTCAGGAGCTGCAGCTCATAAAGCCAGCAAACAGTGCTAACCGTTAGTGCTAACAACCACTCAGGCATGTAATGTACTTTTAACTAGCTGCTATGTGTTTCAAAGGTTTGGTTAGTAACGTTAACTGCCAAACCTCCCTAAACCCTCCGGGTTTCTCACATATTTGAGCCTTTTCCCGCTGGTTGAAATCAAGTTAAGGTGAAATTAATCAAATTAAAACACGGCAGAGAGAGGGAGTCCAGTACGCGGTGGTCATAGGCAGTAGTCTGAGTAGCGGCGGCGGAGACGGTCAACATTGCGGCCACGGAAAGTAATACGTCATGACGCCCAAGCCCTATTATTAATATATTCTTACATGTTTTAAATGCTTGACAGTTAATTACCTGTGACAAAGTGAGCACTGCAGACTCTGGCGTGTTCCAGCTTTACACCGTCCAAATCGGACCTGGATATCCGTGTCAGCCATAGGTGACGGCGTTGTTCAGATAGCTGTTTTGTTTTTTCACATTGATTCACGATTACGGCTGGTATGCGATAGAAAGAGCGTTGATCTCCACCTCCACGGGCCGTGCAACCAACAATTACACACGATTTCACCATTTTTCACTGTCAATACTGCCTAAGGCTGCCACCCAATATGGCGGACGCGCTGAGTAGTCACGTGAGCGCGACATCACATGAAAACCCCCTATTGAGAAGACAGCACATAAAACAGCCCCATTATACGGATACAGCAATTTAAATAGAATAGACATACAATATTTGTTGTATGTTTTGTCCCTCTCTTCTTGTCCCTTTTCTTGTTGATTTACTCTCTATGTTTTGTACTTAGCTGACTTTTCATGCCGTCTCAAAAGGAATGAAAGATTATTTCCAAGCTCACTTAGCTGATTGCTCCTTCCTGTGTTTCTAAAAAGGCAACGGCAAAAGTAAATAACAGTCCTTCATTTCACTGTAGGCAAGCCAAGATAGAGGAGAGCAGGAGGCGGAGTTACTAATCTACTTGCTCGGGAGAGCAGAGTTCGCTGCTTTTATATATCATTGCCAAAGTCTCCACTTGCAGTTAGATTTGGTGCTAGGCGCTTTTTTGAAATAAAAGCACTAGAGGGGTCTGAAAAGTCAGTAAATATAGCGACAAAAGCGCTAAGCTGGCAACACTGCCTTTACACCGTTTTGAAATGGTTTGCTGCTGTCTGTTTGGACTGTTCTGAACATGTGATCAGCAAATGGTCTGATCCAATGTGGTGGACACTAAAGGGTGGGGGTGTGGGGGATGAGATACACTTAATTTGATAAGCATTCTGAGGGCATTTTATTCAAAAACATAATTAATGTGCACAAATAAAACATTTTTTGTATGAACTATACATGTAAACAGAGTTTTATGGGACCCCTAGGAATTTGGGGTCTAGTCAAACTGCCTAGTACTGCCTCACGGTAAACCCACCCCCCCCCCCCCCCCCCCCCCTCCCCCCCTAATACAATATATTACTGCATACAGTAGGATCAATCGAAAGATTTTGATTACAAACACGTTAGCCAAAACTATGTCTATGTAGTGCATGTATGCATTAAGCACAATGTTAAGGGCTGTTAACATGTTTTATACATCAGTGCAAGAAGCCCAGAAACTCGGATTGCTTTAATTGTCACGTTTAGCTAAGTCGAGATTGGTGACGATGGTGTGTTTCACACCAGTATTGTTCCTTTGGGTGTACTATATTTTTCTGGTAACATTTTAAAAGAGAAAAGAAATAGGACTGAACACTATTGGATACAATGGCCTCCCAGGTCCTGAGTCATTGTAAAAACTTCACAGTGGACCTTCTGGGACATTGGTCTCTAGAAACGTTCTTTTATCTTGAAAAAAGAACCTAACAGTCTAGTCCATTTTACTTTCTTCCTGACATAAGTAATGACTAGACCAAAGGAATTAGCCTTGTAATAGGCTACATTCGCTTGTCGGTGTGGGGAGTCATGAAGCTCTAACTTCAGTCCTATCCTTGTCCCTTGTGCAACTTTCATCCAGCTATCTTTTTTTTTTCCTCCCACTAAACTTCCCAGTCATATAAAGTGATTTTGTTCTCTCAAGAGACCGCTTCATTACAGTTTGCTTTAAAACTTTTGTTTGTTATTTGCTGTTAGTCACTATTATGAAAAGTAAATTTCACAAAAAAATTGCACAAAGTAAATTTCTCCACTGTGAGATCAATAAAGTCGATCAATCAATCAATCAATCAAACATATACGAGCCCCACTTTTTAAATTGATTTACTAAAATGGATATGTTTGGTTATGCTTATACAATTTGTGAAGAATGAATTAAGTGAAACAATTTGTGCATCAACTATAACTTATTTATTGCATAAAGGATAGTTAAAGAGTATGTCATGTTACACAAATAGATCTGGATGAAGTCACTCATATAAACAGACACACAACAATGAGCACATGATACATGTGGTTCTGAGACTTTTTATTTCTCTATGTGCACTTTGAATACTTGCAAGTCTTGTGCTCGGTCCAAACTGAAAGTATATCCATGGTCTTAAAACAGCCATCGGTTGCCAAGTAAACTCTCAAGTCATCTGAAGTATTTAGTGTGCTCCCAGTGTGACACATAGGTGTCAACTATAGGTTGCACACACTGGCCCTACGGACATGGACGAGAAAGGGACTCTGCACAAATCTATGACAAATTATCACCTATCAGCAGTGCAAACAAAAAAATATTTTCACACACATACACAAATAAATAAACTACAAAAAAAAATCAACAGAAGGGGGACGAAAAATACACTGTGTAGACAATCTTAAGATTAACAATAAAATACAAGGAAATAAGATAAAAACAGGTTTATTGAAAATGTTGCATGCTCCCTTATGTTGCACTTCTTGAGGTTTAGACATGCCAGTCTTTTTGACAGGCACTTCAGAATGCCTGTGAGAATAGTGTGGAAAATTTGCAGAATTCCATGGACGAGTGTCAGATGAGGTGGAATGTCTCTGATGTATGCTAGTGGACAAGCTCCTTGCGAAGTTAAATCGTCCGTCTGCTGCGTTCTCCAGATGGAGAACATGACCAACAACCTGCTATGCATACATTACACATTGAACAAATAACTGGACGCAGGTTATTAACATGCTGATGAACTAAACATGCTCTTAAATACCTTCGGATAAAGCTTATGCTAATTTCTGAACTTTGCAATGTGACTAACTGAATATCTTACACTTTTAACAGAGAATCTCTGCCATCTCACATTTATAGCCACATTTACATATAAAAGGATCTAACTCTTTCGGGAAACTGAATTCATTGGCATGAAATACAAACTGGCAGCTTTTTGAAATAAAAGTAAACTAAACCAAAACAATTTTCACTAATGGTAGCAGTGCTTTTGTTTGTTTGTTCTTATAATTATAGAAGATTATCTTTTATTTCCGTGTGGATCATCTAAATAAGTGGTCCTCCTAATTTTCAATCATTCTGGTGATATGTTTATTAGGGTGACCAAACGTCCGTATTTCCCGGGACATAACCGTATTTCACGTCCTATCCCGGGCGTCCCGGGTTTTATTTAGAAAGTGAGGAAATGTCCTGATTTCACTGCGCACAACGCTCTGTGACGTAATCCCTGAGCCGCGTCAGTGCGGGCAGCCCTGTTCTTAATCAGAGGCTCTGTTCGAAAACCTAGGACGCATCCTCCAAGGACGCGGTCTACCTAGACTGGATCCTTCGAAGTCCTTGAAAATAAGGAGGCCGGAAGAGTTTTGGCTGTAAATTCGAACAGGTCCTCCCTTCGGCGGGTTTTACCGCTGTATGCTCTGTTGCTTAGCAACCGTGAAAGTTGACACACAAAGCAGGAAAAGAATGAATACCGAGGTTTTCAAAACTGTTTGTTTATTTATTTATTTTTTAAAAAGTTAAAGTGAACAAAGACTGCACTCACAAGAATCCAGAGTGGAATAAAGATTCCAACCACCAGGAGCAGGAACAAATAAAATCAAATGTAATGATGGAAACCTTAGTCAGTTAAATAACCTGCTGCTGTCATTGTGCACATCTCTGACGTTGCTGCTATTTTCAAATATCCATTACTGTAAAAATGTCCATAGCTGCATATTGGTTATTAATTCTCCAGTTTTATATTGTTAAAACACTTTACAGAATTTTATTTTTTATAT